CGTTCTCTCCCCCATCCCGTTGTGTGTGGGGGGGGGTGGGCAGGTGACTGTGTGGTGCTTGGTTGCTGGCTGGGGTTAAACCATGACACCAACAGAGAGAAATTTTGGACTGATCCAGGTAACTCTCCCAAAGGATGGAGGCATGGATATGCTGTTGTTTGAAATACTGCATTTCCTCATTACCAGTAACTGCATTTTGGAACCAGTGGAATCGTTTGCAGGTCTGATTTGGACTCTTCAGTTACTGCTTTTGTTGTTGACTTGGTTAGGGCTGTAAATTATCTAAAGGGATTATTTAATCTCATTTATTCAAGGCAGGATATGGTCATTCCCTATAGCTTTGTAAAGCCTATTTTCATGCCTCAGTTTACTTTTCCCTAAATTAGCCTTGCTTTGCTCAAACTTCCTTTTAAAATCATGTTCTTTTAGATACATGGTTACTCTTAGTTCAGACAAAAGCCGTATCTGGTGTTTAATTGCTAAATGTTTTTTTCGGGAAGCCTCTGCAGGAACACTGAAGCATGACTGTGCACAAATGCTTCTGTCTACAGTGTGCAATATGCATCAAAGGATAACATACATCTAGCTTCCTTGGCCAATTAAATATTGGAGCACTGGGAAAGAGAGGTTGTAGAGAGATTGTAGTAGTGAATACTCCTTCCCTTTTTTTGATCTCTGGTAAGATTAATTTGCAATTTCCCACTCTACAGAAAAGTAAACTTGTATGCAGCTGTTACTTTAAATGGACCTTTGCAAATTGTCCTTCAAATTTATTCTGCCTAGGGGGGGATAAATAGAGCATTCCATGTTTACAGTGCAGTTGAGGCACTGTTGGTTGGTAATTGGACTCTTTTTTTAAAAAAACTAAAAACCAGCTATGATAGGCTTGAGAATAAAGAATCAGTGCAGAAAATAAAGACTTGAAACAAATTAAATAATTTAATATCTCATCCTGTAATTCTAGTAAGTCATTAAAGCAAGAATTCTTATACTAGGCATACCTGACACTTGGGTATTTTAAAAGCAGATCAGTGCTGATGTTTAAAGTTGTTAACTTATGGAGACCTCACTGTTCCATGTCTGTCTGAATCTCTGTTTTACCCTTTTCTTACAGACTTGGCCTGGAAAGAGGTGCAACAGCTAAAGAAGCATTGGATGTAATAGTTGCACTGTTGGAAGAACATGGACAAGGTGGAAATTATTATGAAGATGGGAGTTCATGCCATACTTTCCAAAGTGCATTTTTGATTGTGGACAGAAACGAAGCCTGGATACTGGAGACTTCTGGAAAGTACTGGGCAGCAGAAAAAATCACAGGTCAGTTTATCACTCACAGCAAACCTGTCTTATTATAAATAGCTGTAAAGAAATGTCATGGAAGAATTGGTCTTAAAGTGACTGAGTTTAAATAAGTGACTAATTTATGCAAATGTTTGATTAAATCAATGATTTAATCAAATCTACTTTGATTTTGACCTTCTACTATTTTTTTTTTTTAAATGTTGATTTGCATTGGCTGATGCAACTTAGTGTTTTCTGTGAAGGTGGAAATTGTTACCTGTATACATCGTGCTTAAAAATTTATCTTTCATAAGTGTTGTATTTTCCCAGATTTATTTACTGTTTAGAATGTGTTGAGTGTCTTTTTGATGGAGTTAATGCCCAAATGGTTACTTACAAATCTAAAATATGAAACAGGAAGGATAAGCACTGATAGGTTTGAGAAGAGGGCTTGTGTTAGGTGGTAAATGGAATGGGCTGCTGCTGGTTACTTTATTGCAATAGATTATAGTCCCCTCGTATCCCCGTTTCTTATCTGATACTGCAAAGCAATACTTTTCTGCTCTTTAAACTTGTAGGTGGTTTCTTTTTCTGTATGTGTGAAGCCAGAGCTGCCAAACTTCTAGATTTCACTGGCTTGGTGGCTGAACTTATTTGCCAGCAAAGTTTTAAATATGTGCTGCCTTAATATAATACGATTGTCTAAACTGTATATTTAATTTATTCTCAGTTGTTTTTAGTTTTGAAGATATTTTTATTTTCATACGAGTAGAGCTTTTCAAAATTTACTCACATTTGAATGAATTAAAAATTCAGATAACTTAAGAGGATTCTTATAATCCATGCTTGGAGCTATGACAGATCTATTCAAGTCTCTTTTTCATTTCCCCTTCACTGAAAGGTAGGAGATAGCAGATATGGGGAGGAGGGAGGTTTAACTTCGAAAATACCAAAGCAAAGAAATAACACCAGGCTGTGTAATGTTGTGTGATGGCCTGTTGTCACTTTATGCCATCAAATACAAATCAGCTTACCTTAACAGGGATGGTGTTTTCCCAAGGAAAGCTTGCATTTTAAGGATACCTATAAGATGGAGGAAGTCTTCTAGCACAAATGGGTATCAAACACAGAGGAGGGAAAACTGATAATGCTGTCCTGATAAAATCCAAATTCTGGAAAGCAGCTGGCTCCTGAGGTTCCTGGGATTATGCAATGACAGTCTGCCTTCTTCTGTTGACCTACCTGGCTGATCAGTGTTTTTTACTTAGCCTTTTTAGCTGCATCAGCAATACGTAACCTTCACGTCCTTCTTCCCAGCAAATAAAGTGTTGCCTTCATCCGCTGCTTGCAGCTTTTTGAAATGGTACTGCAGCTCTGTTCTGATTTTTACCAGCACATTTCTCTTCAGGAGATCCCTGTGAGCCACAGATAAGTAGTTTCCATTTCCTGCAGCCTGCTGAGGCTGTCAGGAGGAAAGGACGCTGGCTATGTAAGAACACTATATTTCATATTTTGTTCGGGGGTTCTTTTTTGCAACCGTAAGTGTGCCTCTTAAGCTTTCAAATGAATGCACAAATGTTGCTAAAACAGGGAAAATGTGTCATTTCCCAGTGCGAAGGCATTTTTTTCCCCTGACTCTGTCCTCAGAGTTGTTCTGTTTCTAATATTACTGCTGCAGTTCTGTAAAGCTTATAGTGAATATTTATCAAGCAACTCTTTGATGGTAATTTAAGGATAAACACTTTTAAATCCTTTCTATTACTGTTCTTCAGTTTATCAAGCAAACAAGTTTTTCCACTCAAATTTTCATCTTTTGAAAATACTGTTTTACATGAGTTACTAAATGTAATATTTAAAGAGCTCTTAAGGAGGAGCTTGCCTAGCTTGATACAAACACAAATAGTCCTATCACTCAAGTCAAGAAAATTGCTTTTGAAAGTGTGAATCAGAACAAGCTGTCAGTGACCCTATTATAAGGGTCAGAACTGAATGACAGTGACTTTTTTGCAGACTGATGCACAGAACTTCCTACTATAAGTTGTTACTCATTATTTAAATTGCATGAAGCATTACAAAAGCAGGTTTACTTTTGTGGAAGTCAGTATTAATAACTCTCACAAATACTGCTTTTGTTTCTGTTTAAGAAAAAGTTTGTGCCAAATTCCAGAATCTGGTTTTATTTTAGTTTGCAGATTTACTTTATCAGCTCTTTCTCTGGCTTCCAAAGCATTTGCTTTATTCTCTCTGAGGAGTATCTGCAGCAACCACTGTTAGTCATGCTGTAGATATATGGATATAAGCACTGCAGTATTTTTGAGAAAAGCAAATTAAAAAACCCTTTAATATTCTGTGAAGGCTACTTACACTGTCTTTTTACTTCATGCCATTTTAAAATTTAAGATTAAAAATTCAGTTTAATTTAAGCCTATCTTGCTGCTTACAATAACATTAATAAGACCAGGTGGGATGAGGCTTTGGGCAATGTGGTGTAGTGGAGGGTGTCCCTGCCCGCAGCAGGGGGATCGGAACTAGATGATCTTTAAGGTCCCTTCCAACCCAAACCATTCTATGATTCTATGATTATTTTTCCACTGGGAAGCTTAAAGCAATTGGTAAGCATTGAAAAAACCAAATTTTTGTTTTGGGGGGCAAAGAAGGTTCATTAAACTAAAATATATTTCAGCAAAGCTGCATTTGAAATCAAGTGAGACCTTGAGCCTTGTGACAGTGGAATACACCATTGGAGAAAAGATTAGGCAGGTGCCTTTGGCATTTGGAGACCACTGTTACCTCATGCTCAGAATGTGTGAGGTATGGATTGTGGAACTGGTATTCTGATTAAATACCACTATGAATCACAAGGCAGTGTAAATACCTAAGTAGGGCACAGATAATTGAGCTCTGCAACCTGCAGTGACCAGTAACTCTGTGTATATGTAGCTGTGTAGTTATGCAGTCATGCCAAATGTACACCCTAACCAATGGTTTAGTTTGTTTCCTAACTGAAATTACATTATCCTTCCAGCTTCTCCCAGAAAAACTGTATTAATGCTCTTTTTTTATATGTGGCTCTTTCTACAGAGGGGGTGAAATGCATTTGCAATCAGCTTTCATTAACTACAAAAATTGATGCTGAGCATCCTGAACTAAGGAATTATGTGAGAAGTCAAGGCTGGTGGAATGGAGACTCAGACTTCAATTTTTCTGAAGTGTTCTCTATTGCTGATGACCATTTAGCCTGCTGTTCTGGCAGGGAGAGCCTAGAAAAGCAAGGTGGTAAGTGCTGAACCATCTTTCTGTCTGTGCAGCAGGATTTTTGCTCACTACTGCCCCATTTCAAACATTCTGTCCAGAACTACATGTGACTGAGGACAACATCTTGACATATAAACTGTGTGGAAAGGAAGACCACAACTGAAGACTGTTCCTGAACTTGCCACAATTTATGATGAAGCCCTTAATGTCCCCCCTCAAATCTAAGGTTTTAAAACAGGATTGCAATTTATAAAGTAACTTTGTTCACTGTTGCTCTGATGTGCATGATGTGCCACTGCATTTGTGCTTCAGTGTAATTATAGTGGCCCTACCTAGTATGAAAATTATAGTATTAAAAAAAAAATAAAAAATGGCCTCATGTATGAAAATTTGAGCTCAATGGATTCTATGTTTTGGGAGGTTTGCTTAAGCTTTAGGGAAAGGAATTAAGATTATAGTTTAAGAGTAATTCTAGTCAGTTGCAAACTGAAGTCCCCTTTTCATTGTCAGGCAGAACTAAGTTAACAGAACAGGGAATGTGCCAATTGCTTTCAATCAAAGGAAGGGTTTATTTCCAGACCAAAATTTATTAATGACTTAAGTTTACTGCAGCTGGCCAAAATAGCTCTGAAATTACCAGCCTGCAGCAGTGCATGGCTGACATGTATCTGCTCTTTCGTGTGTGAAAAATGATACAAATTGTCTTTTTATAAAAAGCCCTTCACTGTAGATGTGAATTTACTAGATTGTTAGCATTTTCACATGTTGGCAAATGTCAAGAAGAGTGTAGAGATGAAATATTTATTGCAATGCAGAGTTCCTGCTAAGGCTATAGAATTGCATGGAGTGTGGTTTGTGTCCGAGAGGCAGATACATTCATAGGTTAAAGGTCTTAATAAACCTGGATTATAGCACTAAAAAGCCTGAGGCCCTTACAGATGGCTGTGGCTGCAAATCTTGCAGACTGCTGGGTCATTCCATGTCTTCTGGTGTATTGAGGCATCTGTGCACAGAAGGGTGAGTCAGTGTGGGGTTTGAGAAGTTGCTGGGGAAGAAGCAGTACCTGCCAAAGGGGTAATCCCAGAAAACATGAAGGTGCTGTGGGGAGAAAGCTGTGATAAAACACAGGCAGGAAATAGGATGAGAACAGGGGATTCCTGTAGATAGTGCTTTGGAGAAAAATCTCAGTATCTAGGTCTGCTGCTGTAACACCCTGTGAATGTGAAATGATGTTTTGAAATTTTGACTGAGACCTAATGGAAATAGATGAGAAGTGGGAGATCAGGGTGCTTCCATTCTGCCTGGGCTTGGGTAGAGATAGCTTCTTAGAGGAAAATGAGTGTTATATGTAAGTAGTCTGTTCATAGTAATTGCTAAAACAATATTACAGACATGATGGCCTTCTCCTGAAAAATACCTTTCAATGACTTTTCTCCCTACCTAGCAATCGTAATGCCTAACTAATGCTTCTTACTGTTCTCTTTTACTAGCTAGGCAAGTTTATTCTGGGTTTACGTTGTTTAAATAGAAACTATTAACTGGGATTTGTGACATGCCTATGTCAAGTGTCACTGGTCATATTAGACCAAAGCCCATTCAGGCTAAAATCCTTACCTGGGGTCCAAGTCATGGAACACTCAGGATTATTTTTTTTTCCCTCTTCATATAGGTGATGTTTCTGCACAAACTATGATTGATGTCCTGCGTGACAAGGATAGTGGTGTCTGTGTGGACTCTGAATCTTTCCTTACTACAGCTAGCATAGTGTCTGTTCTGCCTCAGGACCCTAGTTTTCCCTGTGTTCATTACTTCACTGGCACACCAGACCCTTCAAGGTAAGCCACAGCACTGCAGTTCCCTGGGTGCAGAGCAGATGATGGGTTGAAAGATATTAAACAAACTCTGCTACACAAATTGGAACATGCTTCAAGAGAATATTATAACCAGAAATGCAATCAGTTGTTGGTGGTGTGCAATCTGACAATCCTGTGTTACTGAACTACATCTTGTAATTCTACATGGACATCACTGGGCTGAAAGGCTAGATCTGCCTTTGCCTAAATTCAGAGCTTGTAAAGTTAGTGCAGTTTAGGGAGGACCTGGCAACTACTACTCCAGCATAGTTGCTTTCCAGTGGGTTCTTGCTAAGATGATGAGGTTGTGGACCATTTTAATCACTTCTCTTGAACAGGTGGGTGCAAAACTGAAACAAATAAAGTGTCTAAAGAGCAAAGAGGGGGTGTGTACTGTAGGTAGCCTCATATGACATCAAAATGTTAAGGGAGCAAAGCATCTGCAACTCCCACGTATCCCAAGTATGGTTTTTATTGGAGGGACAATTGTCAATTGGTTTAAATAATGTCTTCTCTGGTTGAAAGCAGCATAGGAGATGAGGGAACTCATGGGCCAGATCATCAAAGAACTAATGAATTATCTTGTGTTTTAAACAGAATCCACCTGGGATTCACAGAAATTAAACTAAACCACTTGCAGTTATTCAGATCTGCCAATTGCATTGAGGTAAAGAGGTTATGGGGAGAAGAAAACAGTGCCCTTGAACAGCTGACAGTCATTCCTATGGGAAGAGTGGTAGTAAGCATTAGGTTCTACCGAGGGCTACAGAAGTCATCCACGCCAAAGGGACTTTCCACCCACCTTGCATTATGCAACTCAAACTTTCACGTTTAATTATGAAGTTTGAGCTTGCTTACCAAAACTTTTCTTTGACTTGATGCAAATCCTTTAAGATAGAAAGGAACAAGGCTTCAAATTGTGCTGGTGGGATTTCTGTCCTTTTTAAAGGCAGAGAGTCTAGCTGTAAAAAAACCTTGTTTAGAGGCCTTTCCTGCTTTATTTTACACTCTAATGCATTAAAAAAGCATTATTTTACGTGCAGCTAGTGAGTCACGTAAACTCTTAATCAGCAATGCTTCATGACAGTGATGGAAAGGGTAGCAGCAATGAACCTGCTGACTGTATGCAGGCAGTGGTTATTAATCATGTTTGCAGAAGTCTTGCACTTCTGGCAGCTTCTTTACTGCAGAATGCAGGGTGCTGTTTTGTTGTGTATCTAAAGAGAAGGAAGGCAGTTTCTTCATGCACTTGCCAATACCTGCTCTCAGATTCTCAGGAATTCACATCCTGGATTGCTGGGGTTTTGCGCACGCTTTCTCTCTCTGGAGTTTAGATCCAAACTCAGTGTTGAAGTAGTTTGAGCAGTGTGACAATATTGGTATTGTCTTCCCCCCCTCCACACACATTTGTGTGATTTTAATGAAACTTAAATCTGGAGGAGAAGGAGAGATGGCAGCATCAACAGAGGAGAAAAACTGATGCGAGGCTGAATGCTGAGATTTATTAAATAAAAAAAAACAAACTTGGAGAGGAATACAGTGCTACTCTTCTAAAGAAGTGGCAGAACTGGCATGAAGGAGACCAAAGACGCCTATAGGTAAAAAGGGGTAATAAAGTTTTACAGTAATGGGTAAACTCAATTATTTTAAAGCACATAGATTTATTTTGCTTGTGACCAGTAGCAATTCTCTAACCTAGTCTGTGCCTAGTGTAGATGAACTACCTATGCTGTTCTCTATCTGTTGTTTTAAAATAGCCTGGTGAACATTTCAATAACGTATATAAAATCTCTCTTACTACTGCAAGCAGTAATTCTTATTTCTTTCAGGTCCATATTTAAACCCTTTATTTTTGTTGATGATGTAAAATTAGTACCAAAAGTACAGTCTCCTTCTTTTGGCAATGATGATCCTGCTAAAAAGATACCTCGATTCCAGGAGAAACCTGATCGCAGGCATGAATTGTACAAGGCACATGAATGGGCCCGATCTCTCCTTGAGAATGATCAGGTAAGAGCTGTGGGACTTGGAATTAAAGTAGTAAATGTAGATTCCTAACTCCATAATTTACTTCAAGGCCACTCATTGAAAAACCTTCTCTCAATATTCTTAGAATCCTTGCAAGTTTAGCTTGAGTACTAACACTTCCTGAAGGACAAACTATTCCGCATAGTTTTTTTTGTTATCCTGAGTGTTGTTCTGCTCCATTACTCTTACAAAGTGCAAAGTCAAAGCTGATTAGCTTGTTCAATCTCCATTGTATATATAGTCTTTTTAAGTGATTATTGAACGTTGGATGCTAGTGCAACATGGTTTCAGAATTATATGATAGGATGATGGCGGAAGGTTGTAATTTAAATTGCATGCTGGATTAAGAACTAGATAGTTTGAGGGATTTTTTTCCTTGAAGGAATAATTTGCACGTGACAGTTTTGCAAGTCTCAGTTTAATGCATTTCTGTTAATTTGTAATGCCATGTAATGAAAATGCCATGTGAGAAGAAAGAACGCTTTCCAATGCTATGCAACAGTACCCAAGGTACTGAAAACCTTCCAGTATAAAAACCGGAAGTACCAAAGATCTCCTATGGGAATATATTTTGGAATAAAGGCAGGCAGGAAAGGGATTATTCCGTGTAGCTTTTCCAACTGATTGAGATACAACTTTTGCTGTCATAGTGCAAGTAGTTCCATAACTGTTCTTTGACATTTGCAATTACAACTACAGCAGTAAACTGGATAACTGGTTATAAGGAAGTAAAATAGAGGGAGGGATCATCAGGGTGTGCCAGTGATGCTGGTGTTGGTATTTCAGGCAATTTGTGGAAGGCCCACATAGTCATGTTGAACTTCCACAAAGGACTTGCTTTTCTGCAATTTTCCTCTGTGCATATTTGGGTAGGACACAGTCATGCTAAGATCATAACAGAATTCAGACTTACCCATCAGTGATTAAGGAAACCATGGTAACCTTTGCTAGTACCAACTTTATTTGAATGCAGTTTTGGCTAGATATGGTTTAATTTAAAATCTGTGGCCTCTGTGGTAACATTGACTTAATGCTATGGGAGCCAGCTGCACATTATGCGAATTACCAATTTAGGGAAAACCTAGAAGAGGTATGTTAGCATCATGTGAACTCTTCCCTGTTAAAGTCCCATGGTGTGACACCAAAAGTTATGGTAGAAAAGGAAATGTAGCTTTTAGTGGGCAGTTTTTATAGCATGAAGCCTGACCTGAGAGCCTAAACCTTAGCTTAGGTGCTCTACTCTTTCTGCACAAATGCTGGTATAAATCCTGGAATGCTAAGAACTGGCACTCATTCTAAATGCCTTTTTTTCCCCTGGAATTCAATTTTGAAAGCTGCAAGCAAGACAAACAGCACTTCTCCTTTAAAAAAAAAAAAAAACCAAAAACCAAACCAACCAAACAAAAAAAACCCCAAACAAAAAACCCACAACAACAACAAAATAAAGCAACCCCAAAACCCGAGATTTTAAATAACATCTAGATAAAACAAAATTACACCTTCTTCAGGAGTGAATTTCCTGCCCAGAAACATGAAAAGAAGTCAGAATGACACACAAAGCCTCCTCTGGGATCTGGAGTCTTAATGCTGTTACATTACACATCATTTCAGATCTAATCATCTTACAGGTGATTATCTGAGAGGACCACATGTACATACCATGATCTGTACAATCCTTCGGGCTTCTAGTCTGCTCATATACTTACAGGCTTAACAAGTTGCTCTACCTCTGTCATGTGTACAAGCCTTATACCATTTTCCTCTATCCATCTTTCACTCCATATTCCTTCTCTGCTTTAAACTTAGCAACTCCTTGGTTATTTTTCTTAATGCATAAAATGTCCAGCACTGTTCCTTTTAGCCTTTGACCATCCAAAAAACTAATAACAGAAATAGTTTGTACTTAAAAAGGCTTTCTCATTTTTCAAAATACTTGAAAAGATCTCCATAACCGAACAGTAAAATACTTCAATGAGCCTGTTTGCTGGTTAATTGAGTTTAGTTGTTTCATGCCTTTAGGATAAAGGCCAGAAACTGATGAGGATTATGTTAGACCTGGAAAAACAAGGCTTAGAAGCAATGGAAGATATCCTAACTCGTACAGAGGTTCTGGATCCTGAGATCTTTTCTATGACTGTGTTGACACAGAACTAAAGTTCTTCAAATAAAGTAAGCAAACACTTCAATTCTTTAGCTACTGAGTTTCTGGTACCAGGTATCAGTGAATGTGAAATGTTGGATCCCGTTCTGATCCTCCTCTTTTACACTAAGCTAAGGGTGTTCTCAATTGGGTCCAAAGCCACCTTTCTACCTGAGTGCACCTGCTCGGATTGTTTCCAAAGTCCCTTTTCCCTGTGCCACATTGCAGGCAGGTTTTTTTGGGTTTGTTTTTTTCATTTGCACTCTTGCTTGGAATGGATTTTAAACAGATTTTATCTCATTTCAGCTATGGTGGCTATTGTTAGCCTTTTCACTGGAAGACTGCAAAGTTCTTCAAGCCTTGAAAGAAAGTCTTCACACTTGTGAATTTGCAGGAAAACATTTCTAGAGGAAAAACTGTTACTTGCTAGCTGTATCCGGTTAACAAATTGCTTTCCTTTGTCCAATCTTGTGGTGTTCCTGTTTGTGTATGTATATAGTGAAAGGAGAAAGTCACTGACTGGTCCAATTACTGTGTGCATGCTGGCTAATTTAGTACAGAATGTTTAAATATGTATGTTGGGCAACCAATTAAAGCAAAGATTAACTTCATGAGGCTAACTGCCATACCGTCATTGAAAGCAATCTGTTTTTTCCTCTATTGGCTTGCAGCAAAGCTGACTTGAATTTTTCTCTTCTTGCTAATTCATACAAAGAATGGCAGAGTTTAAATCCTAGTTTTGAAGGAATGGGAAGGTAAGTCCTTTTTCTTGACCTTGCTGTACTGGCCTCATATGGGCATATCTGGTTACAGTAACTCAGCATCTGACATTACGCTTGTATAAATTATCAGAATTAGGTCCCCCAGGTTAAGTTTTGCCTTTACCTGCACCCAACTTAGGGAAGCTTGTGTTTGTAATGCACCTGGCTGCCACTCTAGTACTGAGTACTAAACTGCAGAGCCAGCCTGGATACCTAAGCCATCTGTACATAACCTAGTGGCTCTTAAGATGCAATTAATAAGGTGTCATATTTATATACAAGCTACAAATTTGGAATTTTTTGAGGAAATAGATGCTGGACATGGAGAATAGTCTGGTATTGATCAATCTTTTTGCCTTTGTACTGCTGAGTAGTTCCTAGTAATCTCTGTGGTGAGCATACATGGCTGATGAATCCGTTAAGTACCAGTGAGTTACTGGTGGGTGTGGTAATCCAACTGGTTAGGCTTAGAAATAAATGGCTGTCTTACGCTTCCTTATATTATGTGCAGTTCTGCAGCATGCTTCCCTTCCTTGACAGTCCTACAGACAGACCTGCTTTTCATGTATTTTCTTCTTGTAGAAGTGAGATAGGGCAAACACTTTAAGAATTAAACCAGTAAACGCTGCTTCCTGTGTCATGTGAAGATGGTTGGGTTTTTTAACAGGAGGTTCAGACAAGAAGTCCATGTCTTTAATAAGTGAAAGTTAGCATATGGAGTTAAAATCCTTCACTGTTCAGGGAAGGTGATGGTGAAGAACCACAGAATTTTGTATTGAGGAAATAAAAGCTCCTTAGAAGGCAGCAATGCCTCAACTTGAAACTGTAGGAGTTGTGCATTAGGGAAATAGTCATTGCCATATTGGCATACTGTATTCTCAGAATTTTTTTTTATGAAATTGTTCTATTCAGACTCTTTAATTTGGCATTGCCTTACACGACAGCTGGCAATTGGACAAGAAAACATTGGGCCTTTTCAATTACAGAAAACAAGCACGAACCTTCCCATTCACAATACACTCCTCCCCTGCTCTCTATTTCAGGAACAGCTCCTCTGCCTAGGTATTCTGAAAGTGGAGACAAGGTAAGGAGAAAACAGGCAACTAAACACTAAAACTTAGCTTCTCTCTACCTAGCCAGAATAGGGACTGCAAGGAGCACGCTTCATTTCAGAGGGTGTTGTGCTGGACAAAGCCAGGTGAAAGCAGTGTTGAACTTCAAAGCTGCTTCTATAAACTGTTGCTTGCTGAGCACTTTGCATCCTGATAGGAGTAGCTGGATATTTGTGAACAAGTGGAAAACAGGGATAAAATGATTGCCCCAGCCAGAGGGCTGAAATTAGAATATACTACTTCACACAGCTCTTCTGCACAGCTCCGGATCTCTAACCTTGGAGAGTTGGGAGGGAGGCAAGATGAAAGAAGAGGGTGTTCCTATGTATCTTATTTGCCCATTTCTTAAGAAAGAAACCAACATTTGCAATTATCTTGTGGGAATTCATGTCCTTATTTGGAACTGCTTATATGACAGATCTAATAAATTGTTTTGAGCACAGTGACCCAGGTAGTAATTTTCTAATAGTATGTTGCTTTTCCTTCAGCTGTGTAGTGTGTTTTAAAAAAATAAAAAAAAAATACTGTGCCACAGCAACATGCTGGAGTGCAATCACTAGTCCTACAAGTTTGAGAAACCAGAGCACCCCCGTGACTTTAAAACTTCCAATGGGATTGAGTGTAGGACACAGAGGGACCAACTGCCACTGGGGATTCTATCTCCAGGTAACAGCAACTTCAGAAGCTTCAATGGATCTTCGTCAACAATTGAGTATATATGGAAATAACATTTCACCAATGCTTGCAAGTATGTACAGGCTTTCTAATTTAATCCCTGAAAGATCTTGCTTGCTTCTAAAATACCCCTAAGCATAATAAAAACAGGAGTAATTTTTTTTCCTTTAGATATTTTCTGGCAGGTAGTCTAGCATTAAGTAGTTTTAAAATCCTTACGAAGGTACTTATTACAGAGCAGTACACGAGTTCCAGAACAAAGGAGAACCAACAATAAAGTCACCTTTAATAGTACTATAACAAAATATTCTTCAAAGCAGTATTAAACTTTTTCAGTTGTTGAAGCAATGTATATGCTGATCCCTGCTTATTACTATATTCATGCATATTTATCAAGTAACTATAGTAATGACAGTAAGTATTGGTCAAAGCATCACTTATGTGTTTTTCTTTTCACAAGACATACAGCAACGTATCATAAGAGGCTAGAAAAAGACTAATCATGCTTTCTTAGAGTCCTACAGGTGATGAGCTTACCCTTCCACCATCTCCACACCATGAGCATGCCCGTGTGTGAGTAGGAGTTACAGCATTACTGAGCTGCTGCATGAACTGAGAGAAAAGCAGACATATGTAATAATGCAGTTACCTGTCTCTTCCAAATAGTTTTGTTCAAAGGCATGGCCATGGGGAAGGATCTTCACCTGTGATCTATAATGTTGTTATGGCTGCAGCTGAGACGAATTTATGGCAATTATATAAATTAATGCCAGAACTGTAAATAGCCTGGCTGTTAGCACCAGGCTCACCCTGGAACAGCAGTGCCTTTTTTTCAAGCTGGTGAATCACAGAATCCTTTAGGTTAGAAAGGACCTTTAAGATCAATTGAGTCTAACCATTAACCTAGCACTGCCAAGGCCACCACTGAACCATGTCCCTAAGCACCACATCTACCCTTCTTTTAAATACCTCCAGGGATGGTGACTCAACCACTTCCCTGGGCAGCCTGTTCCAGTGACTGGCAACCCTTTTGGTGAAGAAACTTTTCCCAATATCCAATCTGAACCTCCCCAGCACACTTTGAGGCCATTTCCTCTTGTCCTATTGCTTGTTATTTGGGAAAAGAGACCGATCCCCACCTGGCTCTACAACCTCCTTTCAGGTAGTTGTAGAGAGCGAGAAGGTCTCCCCTCAGCCTCCTCTTCTCCAGGTTAAACAGCCCCAGTTCCCTCAGCCGCTCCTCATAAGACTTGTGCTCTAGACCCTCCACCAGCTTCGTTGCCCTTCTTTGGTCCAGACATTTGGACCTCAATGTCTGTCTTGTAGTGAGGGCCCAAAACTGAACACAGGACTCAAGGTGCAGCCTCACCGGTGCCGAGTACAGTTGTGACAAGAGAACAACCACTTTAGGGACTGCTTGTTCCATGTGGTGTGTTTTGGACAATGAATCCTCACTGCTGCTGTGGGTGAACAATAGTAGCTTTAGTTGCCTGTTTAAGATGTAGGTGTTGGACTCCTGATCCAAAGGCCTCCCAGTTGCTGGGTAAAGACAGTCTGTCACACAAATGGTAGATACCCACTTTGCCAGCAGGAAAAGACAGGACGCGTGCCCTTACATACAAACTTCATGGCATACGCATTCACACACACCACTTGGTTTTTTTGCTTACAGTAGAACCACTTTCTTTTCCTCTAGTTTGGAAAAGTTCTGTCTTGTTTAAGTCCATGACCACCCTACCCAGCTGGGCTTCTTCAGACACTATCCCATAAGGATCTGTAATCAACAGGAGGTAAGCTCAACAGCAGCCACCACTCCTTGTCATCTCTTCATCCTCGACAAGAAAAGGATTGTGGGCTTTTCTGTACATGAAAGTGACATTCTGCTGCAATCTGAGCATAGGCAGAATAGAAGAAGTGAAGAAATGTACAAGGAGACTAAAGGTAGCATGTTAGTGTCTGATAGTTCATTGAAAAATGTCTGAATAGTAACTGAAGATCTTATTTCCAAAATACTTCAAAATGATGATGGAATGGGAAAAATAAACTACAGCCATGTAATGCAGAAAGTATTCTGAGGTAACATCTGTCAGCATGATAAAAATGAGAATTGTTTCAACACTACAAAGAATTTAACTTTTATGTTGCTTTGCTTAAAAAATAGCCACCTATATACAATAATTTAAAAGCCTGTACTAACATTCCTGTAGTATGCAGGCCGGTTCAAAAAGTATCATTTACATCGCTTTTCCAGTTTACAGAAATGTTAACATTGCAGCACTTGCAATTCAAATATAATCTCTCTCACTGTAATCAGGACCCCTTCTGTTTTATGTATTATCTTGTTGTTCTTTTTTTAATACTAATCTGGAGAGCATCAGAAGACTCTTCTCATCTCACATGTGTTCTTAATGGAGGATTTTTGGAGGGATCTGTAAATAGATAGGACAGGTTTAATCAGAGGAGATTACAGATACATTTTTTTGAAATAATATATTTCGGATGCAGTTCTATAGCAGGGATGCTGCATTTATCTCCTACCCTTCAACTGACATATATATATTTGGCTCATGCTCTGTAGCCCTTCAGTAAAAAGTCTTTGATCAGATCATACAGCAGATGATTTAGACCGACTGAAGTTACTATCAAAAGTCATGTAAAGTACCTTGGCAGGGAAACAAACAAACAAAAAAACCTTAACGAAAAGTTGGAGATAAATAGTTGCTATAATAATACAGAAGAGACTGGGGGTTATGAAAAGCAGAATATGGGCATGAGATCTTTCAGCACCTTCAACTACCAGTTTTCCAAGCTGGATAGGTGAACTTCTGCTCCTGCAACAGTGACATGATACCAAGTTTCTAAGTTAAGGAAGGGGAAAAAAAACCAACCAAGTTCAGTCAGCCATTACTTTCCTGGCGAGGTTCAGGTACTAAGTCCCTTTGTTATTCAGGTTTGTAAAAGACCATGCATATGATTTAAATCAAAACACATGATGGAAAACAGGGATCAAGTCACCTTTCTTTTGTGATTTCACAAGTTAATGAACAAAAAACCAACTTGGCAGCTGCCTAAGTCTTTTTACGTGACATCACTGTTTTTTTTAACATCAAGGGCTCTGCAAATTCAACAATCTAAAGAATACAGACTGCATGTCAAGCCATATAATTTTATTTTTAGCTACTAAGACTTTAAAGTAATTAATAAGTGCTTTTCATTGTATCTTTGGTCCCTGTTACCACTGAACAAATCCCATTCCTCTCTGTGCCTACACTAGCAGCCCAGTTCTTCACATTAATGCTGGTTTCTGTTATTTTCACTCCCTGTTTTTTAATCCTACTGGATAATTATCAGACTTCTTCATGTTTACACACTTACCTCTAGCTATCTTGCTGGGATATATTTTCTGAAATGGCTTGAATTCATCAGGTGGGGGGAAATCTTCCACAGAATGGAAAGTAAATTTAGATTCAAAGTCATCTGGGAAGTTTCAGGGAAACAAACATTAGTCACTCTTAGAGAGATACTTTAAAAAAATAAAATTGCCACAAGTAATTTCAATTAAAAATGCTGACTCCTTTTCCTCCAGAATTGATAGTGGCTCATTCCATATAAACAACCTTGATGAGTACTTGCGTGAGCCATTCAAGTTTTCTGGCTTAATTGCAAACACTGCCTGCTACTAACTCAAGTTAAGCTTCTAGCTGCTGTTCCAGTTTCCTGTATTGATGATATTGCAGCAATAGAAGTATTTCTAGGTGGTTTTCAGGCCAGGTAGCTATAAGCAAGAATGAATGGCCATTTCGTCAGACCACAAAAATAATTCTTAGCAGTCTTTGCTCTATAGGATTGAAGCTACTAAATGTCCATGAACTGGTTTTAAGAATAGTAATACAAGCACGCTACAGCAACTTTTCACAATCTTAAATAATTTTGCAGGTAGCGCATGCTTTTCTTGTCTGCTGGATGATTCAAAACCTTTGTGACAAGGCTTTAATTTTCTCTCACTGTGTAAGGTTGTACAAAAATGTTTCTAATGGGTCTAGTTACACTACCCTGTTATTGCCATGACAAAGTCTCACATGAGTTTTTGAGGTCTGAGACACACCCAGGCTTTGTACTAAAATTATTAACTAAAGTTAAGAGATCTCATTTAGGTGATACTACCAATGATGTGCATATTTCCATTTTTAAGTGGTGGGTACGGGTCATGAGCTGCAGCCCAGGCTGAGACTCCAGACTTGCTCGTAAGTTCAGTTGTTGGTGATCTTGCTGGTGGCTGTGGAGGTACGACTAGCTTCCCAGCACCGGTTCCTTAAAAAGAAGCAGCAGACCAGCACATAAACATCGTGGTGACTTTACAAACTCACCAGTAAGCTTTGCACAGAAGTGGAGAGAGCATAGAAGGAATGCGATACTTGGGGCAAACTTAACCCAGCTATTGTAGGGTACTTCATAGCTGCCGTTTGTCAAGCCTGACCATGGATTTATAGCATTAAGTATTAAATTTAAGTCATTATTGGACTTGGCTGGGGCTTGCTATTTCTAGTTCTAGGGAAAGTCTGACACTCTGAAGTCTGGTTTTGTCCCAGTCTGGAGGGGGAGCCTCTCCTTCCACTTTCACAAGAACAAGCAGTTTCTCTAAGAAAGAAACCAACACCCAACCACACTAGATGGTAGCTCTCAAAGAAAATAATTTCCTGACACTTTGGCAGCTATGCAGTGGAATTACTATTATTCTTGTGCATTTCACTGAGGACTTGCGAGAGGCATCAAACTTTACATCATCTGAGCAGAGCTACCACAGGAACTGTGTAAGGGTGAGGGAGCCCAAGGCCTCCAAGTTAGCAGCCTCTCAAAACTGCTTCTCCCCCTAGGTAACCAAGAGAAAGGCAGACTAATTTTATGGAAACCTCAAAAGTTGAACCACCATGAGAAACAGGCATCTCACTAAATTAACAGTTCATCAGGCAGTTCCTGAGCAGCATTAATCACCGCCAGGAAGCACCTGATCTGCTGTACCTACACAGCCTTTCCCATGGCTGTCAAAGGGAACCAGTAATCTTTCTCTCAGCATGCAGCTGCTAAAATACAGGGTACAGAATGTTCTCTTCAGATGTTCCTTATTAAGGAGCTGTCTCCATTTCTCAAACCCACACAGATCTAGGCTCATTTTTTTAATCTTCATTGTATCAGGGAAGTCTGACAAAAGTTCCTTCTACCATCTGCTCAAGGAAACAATGGCTAATATCCCCACTTCCCAAGTGGTCAGAGAAACCTCTGGCCCTACCACCTTGGTCAGGGAGGCACTGGCTGCACCTATATTTGCCTTTGCTCATCCATGGCTGCAGCTACACCACCTCTGTTTTATTCTCTCCTGCAATGTTTCCCAGCCATTGGCAGAATTGCTTCAGACTGCACGCGTATAGCAGTACAGGGATGTCGCGGGCAGCCTGGCACTCGTGCAGTGGCAGATCTGGCCAACATTGGTGGTGCACGCTCTGTTAGGGAACCTCTCCTGAGCTCGGTCATTGTGCTGCTGGGGACACAGCAGTGCCAACACAAAAGCAAGAAGCAACTCAGCCTTCCTAAAATCTTGTTTCACTGATCAGCATTTTGCTTCCAAGAATGAAACTATATAGCGTGCGTGCCCAGCTCTAACAACCTGACATCTCACATGCTCGTTACATGCTGTGCAACCTACAGGTATTCCTCCCAGACGATGGGCTTTGCCCTCCTGCTATGTGTGCCCTTCATCCCCATCTCTCCAAGCTCTCCAGCCATCAGTGCCATTTTCCCCCTAGCCCAAGGGAGAAGAACGCCTCCCTTCTTCGAATGCCGCTCTCACCTGCGCCTCGGCCTGGTCTCTTCTTCCTGGTCTCCACCACCGCTGTGGTCTGAGGAAGGCCAGGGGTGGGAGGAAGCGGCAGTGACTGAATACTGCTTGGCTTATGGAACTGGGACAGCAAGTGGGGAGACTTGGGGGGCAGGGGAGGGGGCACGTCACCGCCGCTGACGGCACTGTTAAAGGCTGGGGCGGGTGGAAAGGAGAGCCTGTTTGAGGTCAGGGGGTGCCCGTGTGGTGGAGGAGGAGGAGGTGGGGGGGGCGGTGTGGCAGGTGGACAATCCCTTCCTTCGGGTGGAGAGGAAGCGGCAGCAGAGAAATCGGGTGTCCTGCTGGGAAACCCGCAGGGGG